TATCGTCTGTGTTCATGGGTTATGTTTCATCCTTAAGTTTTATTCCCCTTTTCCTTTTGTTATAGCACAGTAAGAAGCTAGCAAAATTCTAGGACTAGCAGAATAGCGAAGCTAAGATAGTTAAACAACAGTTTGCAGACACCTAGTAAATCTTATTTTCCTTAAACCAAGGACACTTAAGAGTAAATGGTCTGCACTTCTCTCCAGCCAGAGGGTAAATAGCTAAAATTACACTACTCAGGGAAACAAATCACAGAAATCTAGTTAGTGCCATTTGCCAACCACACCCAAGGACATAAAATTAAGAGAATAAATCTCATACTGGTACATAGCATAAAGATGATGAATATTCTATTGACCCACCCCTAAGAATTCCCCTAAACAGCCATCCTTTAAAACCCATGAAAATGAAAGTACCAGAGTGCTCTCCCTCCAGGGAACACAACCATGCCATTCCCTTCTTCTCCTTCCCTCAAGGGCATGCACCTCCTAAACTCCGAGGGGCCCCACAAGACTTGCAGCCAGGGGAGGAATGGGCAGTGGCAGCTCGTCCCTGGCTAACCCCCTGAGCTTGCCTCCAAGAACCCCTATTCTCTGACTTTCCAATGAGCCAAAGCAGCCCAGCCTGAGCTCTCCTGTTGCTTCTTCTATGGCCTTCCCTGTTTAACTGTCTTCGTGTATTTTTGTTGTGGTCAATAAATTTTTACTTGCTTTTCTACACTTTGTCTCTTGATTAAAATCTTTCCTTCAAGAAGACAAGTACCAAGGTCTCCTTGTTTTATTGGTAATAGCTTTTTTCCTTTTTCTTTTTTTCTTTTTTACTTTTGTCATTAAATTCTACACTTTTTTCTTTTATACTTATATGTACTTTCAAGAAAATTTTTAGGACATATTGTTCTAATGATGAAAGGAAATAGAAAAGTCAAATAGGTGAATCATCTTAAAATTTGGGCAGAGTACACACAAAGTTAAATGGAACTTGTAGTTTATCCTTCATGTTCTGAATGCCACATATTTTTTTCTCAACTATTTCTTTGCAGAAAAACAAAGAAGAAATTAGCTAAGGAAATATATATAATATTTATAAGTATTATATATAAATATATAATATATATAATTATTCTGAGTAATAATTATATTTCATAATTTTATAATTATAATTTGTTATTCCTATAGATGAGGCAGGACTCCACCCAAAATCTACTGACTCCTGAACATAACAACACCCACTTTCCATGCAATGAATCAAAACTTTGTGTTCTCAAAAGGTTTGTCTATATCTCTCTAGATTTCTTAATTTATTTTAAATAAATTAAATATGTTTAATCTTTCATATGACATGATTGGGGGAAAACTTACAAAACAAAATCTAAGGATCATTTTCAAAAGTAGGATCCAGCCTTCTTAAGAGTTTTTCTATATGCTCTTAGCCATCCCTTTTTCTGAAAAGCTAAATGCTAAATGGATCACTTCATTTGCAAAGACAGTAATTTCTAAGCCTTTATTTAGAAGAGATGAGGAAAGAACAATAAATCGTGAAGAGAATTAGTAACACAGTCTTTCAGTTGCAGGTATTTCAATTGATTAACTATCAGACCAAGCATTTCCCTAAATTCAGCAAGCCAACTTAATCTGTCTTTGGACATATTCTTTGTAATTTGTTAAGGCTATTGGCCCAATCAAGAGCACCAAACACTGACTATTAGTTTTGGTTTGATTTGTAGGTTGGAATTACTTTACAAAGAGAAATCTATACATTGCATGATAACTCCACAACCCAGTTATTCAAAACGCTTATAATTGATTGCCAAGGGATGTGCCAAAAAGTCTTAAATAGGCACACAAATGATTTGTAAAGATATCATTATCATTTTCTTCCTGATTTGTTACAACTATTATACTTCTTCATGCTCTGACCTTTAATAGAATAGTTCCCCTATAAGCCATTTCATTCTACCATCAGTAAAAAAAAAAAAAAAAAAAAAAAAAAAAAAAAAAAAAAAAAAAAAAAAAAAAAAAAATTCTCCTCCTTTTAAGTGCAAGTTAATTATGCAATCATTCATCATTTCCAGATGCTGATTGGGGGACTGTTTGAGACAAAGAGAGATTATATACCTACAATCTCATTTCTTAGAACCTTTCAAAGTAATTCTGAGTTAAAAACTCGGTGTGTGCACTGAAACAAGCAGGAGGAATGAAGCTGTCAGCTTTCTAGCCACATGGTATATTCTATTCTCTGGTGTTGATCTTGATAAAGAACCTGTGCTTCATAAACCATTGAAAAACTAGAATTTAACCGGCTAGTGGAAGAACCCTGACATCAATATATCTTTAAATGGAGGTCAGGGAAAAGTTAAATTACTGACCGAATGGGTAAAAATCTTTCCCTTGACATATAGCCTAATTTTTTTCAGTACATCTCCAGGCAAGATTGTGTGGCTACAATCATTTAAATCATTTTATTTCTACATTTTGCTTCATACTAAAGGAGGATGGGTAAGACGTGACATTGGTGCTCAAAAAGGGGAGTTATATATAGGTAAGAGCACCCTCCTTGACACATACTATTTTTGGAGAGAAACCATCTCTCCTGTAGGACAGATAAAACCAGTCATGTTGAATGTATATGAGAGTCATCTCATGGTTTTACTCATCTCTGCTAATAGGCACATATCTCAACCTCTGCAACTGTAATGGCTTCTGTACAAATGGGCTCTCACTACATCCATGAGGCTTTCTCGCCTTTTTCTTTATCATAACCAGAGGTTTGTGGGTCATGAAATCTAAAGCCTTTGGCAGGAGGGACCTGAGTGGTAAGGTGATGGCTCTGGCTGGCAGCCTAGGTTTGGGCTGTGCCCAAGAGAAGCAGGGCTCAAAGGGCTACAAGTTTATAGTTCCAAGTACATGAAACACAGTAGGCACTTATTGACATGGCAAATACTTACTGACCACCAACTGACTATATAGTATTAGAAAAGGATAAGACAGAGGGTTCATTTGTAACTGGATAACTAGTAAAAAGTAACAGATTGCAAAATTTTAACAAAACTAGGGATCACACAATAATGTTATATCATTACTTATATTGTGTTACTAGTGAACAAGGTAAGTGAGAAAAACTCCAAAGCTGGAAAGGGTCAAGTGGAAGAACTCCCCCTGGTAAAAGGGCTGCCCTGGACTCCATTGTAGCCTGTAGATTGGATATGTACAGGAATAGGAAAATTGTGTCTTCAAGAACTAAGGAGAAGAGAATCCTGGAATAAACCATAGGCAGCAAAATCTCAGACATTTTTCTTAGCAGTATGTTTACAGATACATCTCCTAAGGCAAAGGAAACTAAGAAGAAAATAAACAAATGGTAATACATCAAACTAAAAAGCCTCTGCACAACAAAAGAAACCATCAACAAAACAAAAAGAGAGTCCACTGTATAGGAGAACATATTTGCCAGTGATATATCTGATAAAAGGTTAATACCCAAAATATATAAAACATACAACTTAACAAAAGGAAGACAACAATCCAATTAAAAATGGGCAAAGGACCTAAATAGACATTTCTCCAAAGAGGACATACAGAAGGACAAGAGACATATGAAAAATGTTCAAAGTCATTAATCATCCAAGAGATGCATATCAAAATGATAATGAGGTACCATCTCACACCTGTTAGAATGGCTACCATCAACAAATGACAAGTGCTGTTGAGGATGTGGAGAAAAGAGAAAGCTCATACACTGCTGGTGGCGATGCAGACTGTTGCAACCATTTTGGAAAACAGTATGGAGTTTCCTCAACAAATTAAATATGAAACTGCAATTTGACCCAGTGATCCCACTTCTAGGACTATATTCTAAGAAACCTGAAGCACCAATCAGAAAGAATGTATACATCCTTATGTTCATAGCAGCACAATTTACAACAGCTGAAATCTGGAAATAGCCCAAGTGCCCATCAATAGATGAGTTGGTAAAAAAGCTGTGGTACATTTATACCACGGAATACTATGCATCAGTAAAAAAGAAGAATATTTTACCCTTTGACACAGCATGGAGGGACCTGGAGAATATCATGCTAGGTGAAATAAGTCAGTCAGAAAAAGACAAGTATCACATGATCTCATTCATATGTGGAATCTAAGTAACAAAATAAACTGATGAACAGAGTGGATCCAGAGACATGGAAGCATGGAACAGAGTGAAGAATCTCAAAGGAAGGCAGGGGAGGGTGGGTGGGTAGGAAGTAATCAACCAAAGATCATGTATGCATATATGTATAATCTATGGACACAGATGATAGCGTGCTGAAAGCCTGGAGGCATGCTGGAGGGATAGAGAGGGTCTATAAGCAGGGGGGGGAGGGGGATATATAATACTTTCAACAATAAAGACTTTTTTAAAAAACAAAAAGAACTAAGGAGATGAAACTAAAAATAAATTTCTATTCATAAATGAAACATTTTATAGGGGAGATTATCTTTCTTCTGTGACATCCTCATTCAATTTTCTGAAATCTAATAACAACTTGAACCCTCTATGCTTGTGAGTACCACAAAGAAGCACAAGGAAAACTTCTGGCCTTTCTAAGATATAGTCAAAACAATCAAAGTATATCACCTTCCTTTTTGATATGATATGTCAAACAATACTAATAGTTGCCTGCTTATGTCTGCTCAGCCCTTTCACCTTTTGTTGTTGTTCTCTGGCTTGCAGTGTGTGTAACGAAAAAACTATTTTTCTCAACCATACCAGCAACAGGGGGAAATATGATGAAGCAACAGCCCACTGCTAGAGCTTTGGGGAGAACACTCAAGGTGGCAGAATCAGATAGTGCACACCCTTGGGTCCTCCCCTTTGTCCTTCAGAGAATATGGGCCCAGCACTGGCTGATGGCCATGAGGTGAAAGCCATACTGTCTTGGTCCTTTCATGCTGCTATTACAAAATACCATAGACTGAGTAAGTCATACTAGTAAATAGCAGAAATGTATTGCTCACTGTTCTGAAGGTCGTTTGTCCAAGAGTGATGGTGTTGTCAGATTCCCCTTGCAGTTGCAGGCTGCCAGCCTGTTGCATCCTCACATGGTAGAAGTGTGGAGGAGCTCTCTGGGGCCTCTTCCATAAGAGCACTAATGGCCTAATCACTTCCCAGAGCACCACCTCCTAATAATATCACACTAGACATTAGGGTTCAACATATCATTTTGGGAGACACCAACATTCCGTCTATAGTACATACATTAGTTCCTGAAAGCTGAAGGAACTAACTCCCTGGTGGCATTATTGAATGCTATGCCAGTCTTGGATCACCTGACTAACTTTTTTAAAGCTAAAATGTAAAAGCCTTAATGTATTAAAGCCTAGTTTTTAGAAGTTTCTGTTGCTTGAAGTCAAACATGATCCTCAAGCATATTTCATTGATTAGTTCATTAACATAGGAAATCCTCTGGGGTAGGAATTATTATTACAAGACAAAAGTGAATTACCTTGCATCAAATATTCTCTTTATGTTGAATTTTTCTCTCCCTTTTAAATCACAAATTCCATTTCCCCCAAGTCTTTCTGGCTTCTCTTCTCCACCTGTACCTCTCTGGCCCTTAGTCTAGACTTTCCTCACCTGAAGTATTTGCAAAAGCCTGCTCATTGTTCTACTTTCAGATTCATTCATTTATTTATGCATGCAGCAACTCTCTTGAATGTCAGGCACAATTGATGCTAGAAGGAGAATAGTGATAAAGATATATGTGGCTCATGCCATTAAGCATCTTGGATTTTTCCTACTTACTGTCAACAGTGTTGTCCAAAAATGTATAGATGATCACATTATTTCTTATTTAAAATTCTAAAATAACTTTGCGCAGTCTATAAGCAAAACTAAAAACTTTAAATTTCATGCAAGACCTTTGGGAACCTCACAATATGCTAACTTTCCAACTCATCTGATGACCTTCCATCACCTTTTTCCTTCCAGGTACCTATTTTCACGTTCACTGAACTGCTTGCTAGGTAATGCATTTAAAGTACCTCACGCAAGGCTGGCTAAAATAGGCACTTGGAAAATGTGGCTTGCTTTCCTCAGCTCTTCCTCAAAAACACCACACACTTTTACACCTTATGAGTTCGCATATAATTTTGCCTGAAATTCCTTGTGCACTTTTACTCCCAGAAATCTACTCAAGAGTTCAAGATTCAGCTTCAATTCTGTGAGCTCTCTAGGTATCCCAGATAATGTGGAGAGTCAATGATTATGGGTTGCACCTTCCTTCCGAATTCGAGAACAGAGAAGTTCCTGTTATTGAAAGGAATCACTGATAACTGCACTTATTTCTCTTTAAATAAATTAAGTTTGTAATAACTGCCAGTAGGTGTTAATGTGCTGTTAGAGAGAAATCAAGGGAAATTCTTTAGAACTGGCTAGTTGAGAACTTAATTATAACAGATTCCAAGTAACCCAAAGATAGCTAAAATGTTCAGCTCTAGAGTCATCTGAGACAACGGTAACATCTAATGCAGCAAGTACACCTTTGCAATACATGGATTTAACTTAATTAATTCAATATTTATTAAGCACCTAATGTGTGGACTTGGGTGGAGTTGCCCACAAAGTATACAGATTGTTATAAGCATTGATTTTCTTGGGGAGTTGGAAGGGAGGAAAAGGAGTAAGTCAAATGAGGCAAGAGAATAGAGAGTATATGTTTATATTAGATATAGAAGAAATGAAAACCTAAAAAGACTAACAAAACTGGGTAAAAAGGCAAGAGATTGAGTGTATAAATATCTCAGTGTAGTCAAAGAATAAGTGTGGTAGCCCTAGCTGGTTTGGTCAGTGGATAGAGCATCAGCCTGTAGACTAAAGAGTCCCAGGTTCAATCCTAGTCAAGGGCACTTGCCTGGGTTGTGGGCTTGATCCCCATTAAGGGATGTGTAGGAGGCAGCCAATCAATGATTCTCTCTCTCATCATTGATGTTTCTATCTCTCTTTCCCTCTCCCTTCCTCTCTGAAATCAATAAAGATATGTTTTTTAAAAAAGAGAGTTAGTGTGGTATATGTAATGGGTGAGTATGCTAGAAGATAAAGCACCACAAGGCTAGAGTGTTGAGCTTGTCCACATGGACAGACAAGCCATCTAGAAAAATGGGTAAAGGTGCAGACTGCAAGCCAAATGGAGGATTCTCCGTATTTGGAGAAGGTCAGCTATGGGGAGGCACAGAGGGTAGTCAAGCTGAATAGTTTAACTCTCATAAGTCAGGCATTATTTACACAATGATGGTTGAACAAGGCTTTAGAATATTGCTGAGGATTCTCTCTCCCTTGGTGTCACTCACAGGTAGGTACCAAAGCCTAATACTGATAGGAGAAATGTTTAGTTTTAGTTAAAAGGGAGAAAGAAAATTGTATTCTTAGGGGAAAAAAAAAAAAAACATGTTTGAATCAAATCAAGAAAGCTTAATAAGTCTTTTTTGAAAATGATGAAATTTTCTTCATCAAGATAAGGGATTTCTTGAAAATGTAAAATATTGCAAGTAAGTAGGAGGCTGACCAGTATAAAATACATGAAGAGCTTTTTATTTTTGCAAGGATGTTTGGTTGTGAGGCACAGTGAATTAGCTGACATCAAGATTTATTTTTTTTAATATATTTTATTAATTTTTTACAGAGAGGAAGGGAGAGGGAGAGTTAGAAACGTTGATGAGAGAGAAACATTGACCAGCTGCCTCTTGCACATCCCCTACCGGGGATGTGCCTGCAACCAATGTACATGCCCTTGACTGGAATTGAACCTAGGACCTTTCAGTCCACAGACCGATGCTCTACCACTGAGCCAAACCGGTTTGGGCAAGATTTATTTTTATTGTTGAAAGTATTGCTTCCCCATTGACTCCTTCTAGCCCACCTCTGCCCTCCACCCCAGGCTTTCACCACCCCATTGTATGTATCCATAGATTATGCATATATGCATGCAAGTTCTTTGGTTGATCTCCTTCCCCCCACCCACCCATTCCTACCTTCCGTCTGAGATTCCACAGTCTGTTCCACGTGACATCAAGATTTTAAGGAAATGATAGAAACAAGTGCTTTGTGGGCTGACTTAGGCCAAATTTCAGGTATGTCCTACCTAGGACAGGAAGTGTGAGATTTCTGTGGCCTTTGTTCTGGGTTCTTAAGTAAACATTGTTGAGAAGTTGTTGTATCTTTAACGAAATTCTAACCTTGGTGGATTGGAACTAAAATTATAAAATTTACATATCCTTACCTCCTGGTGGGAAACTCCCAATAAGAGAGATTAAATAGCTTTTGGAGGCATATACTATGATCTGGATTGAGTCTCATTTTGGTGATGCCCCTGGCAGCATCAGTCAGAGGTAAGACCCAGGAAAGGAAGGTTCACTCTCCAAGCCAGGAAAGGTTATAAAATGACCTGATTGTTGTGTCTGAAATATGGAAAGCACAAAATATATTTATTGAAAGATTAATATGAACTGTAGGTTTTAACTTTCTGTTAGAAGTTTTGCTTGCACATTTTCAAACTGCTTAAAAAGACTGTAGGGAATACTTGGCATTCTTTCTGGCTGCCCTGTATCTGAGCCACTTCTTCACTTAAGGGAGTTCCTATTTGGTGAGTTACAATTAGAAAGTCATGCTAGATCCTCTTTATCCAAACTCCCTTACAGGTCAAGAGCTTGCATGAGTCCTAAGCTCAGTCAATGAGAGCCAACTTCCCAGACTTTATGCTGGATCTGGAATGGAATGACTCTTGGCTGGGAGAGGGGTGAGGTTGGCTATGGCAGCAAGGTTAATTTCCCAGAGCAGTATTAGTAGCAGTGGCAATGGCAGTACCCTGTGCTCCAGGCTGGTTTGGCAGTAGCAGTTTCAGCTGCAGGGTGTTGTGCTTAGTGGCAGTGGAAGTTGTGTTCTCCCCCACCAGTTCTAACTGTGATTTATGCCATTGTTCCTGACGACACACCCTCTGGTCCTGGTTTTTTATCCCCACATGAATCCCACCCATATATCTTTTTAGTAAATTCAATTTCTTCTTAAATCTGATAGATTTTGTTTCTTATTCTGGCAAATGAAGCCCTACAGATACAGATGTTCGTTGCAGAAGTGGAGTGCCAAAAGTAAAGGGGCCTGAAATGAGGAGTTGGGTAATGGAGGGGGTGCTCTATGGAAGTGAGACACCTGACTGGGAAGTGGTGACTCTTTTTATCAGGTTGCCAAACAATTGGTGAAATTATCTGTTGCTCCTGAACACAGATCATGGGCCTAGATAGGCTTTGGATGGATGACTTTGCTCATCAATAGATGGCTTTCAGTGAGGGTCCATGAGAAAGAAAGACTAAGGATGGACCATGTTAAAGAGGGAGACAGGAGATTCAGCAGCAATAGATAAATTTGAGCCAGACAAGCTTAATCTTCCAGGACCTTCTTAAATATTTTTTATAAAGTTGTTTCTGCCTGACAAATTGAAAAACCCAGATGGCCAAGATTGGATTATAGGTATTGCCTTCCACCCAAGGTTATTGTTTTAAATTGCCTCGGGTCATTAATCTAAGGTCTAGGAGGACTGGCATCATGTAGAAGTCCCTGGCACAGAGTCAAGAATTCTCAGGCTCACAGTCTATTTCTAGAAAAGATCATTGGCTGTGGTATTAGGCCATGGATTTGACTGGAAACACCTGAAGCCTACTGAGTTCTTACAGGAATTATATTACCAAAGAAAGCCCAAGGTTAATAAACAATGGCCTGTGGCTACTTGGCAAATCCCTGAGATCCTAAACTCCCACCAACAGGAAAAAGAATACTAAAGCTTGTCCAGCCCTCAGAAAGAGCATTTTCCAATGTTTATCTCCAATGTTTTCATAAAGAAGAATTATAAAGATCTGGATAGAGTGGCTGCCATTACAAATAGACCCAATATATAAATGGCTTGAACAAAATAGGAATTTTATTCTTGTTTACATAATAGGACTGAGCAAGTGAAAAAGTAGATTGCACAGCCTTTATCCAGGCAGTAATTCAAGGATCCAGGCTGAAAGAGGTACTACCATATTGAACACAATATTTTAAGCTTATCTCATTGGGTATCTGCACTTCAGTGAGCTAGAAGGAGAAAAAAGACCTGTAAGCACACATGCTGGTGGTTTTATCAGCCTGGAAGTGACACATGGCTCTTCCACTAATCATCTATCGGCTGGAACTCAATCTACATGCTAACAACAAGAAAGGCTGGGAGAGGTGGCCTCGCTTCCAGGAGGAAGAAAAAACATTGGAGAGCACTAAACAAAGTTGGCACCACAGAGAAAAGAAAGACCATTCCTGAGAGCAGAATGAGGGCTGCACAATTGGTTGGCCAAGTATCTGTCTCTACTGCCAATGTAGGAAGACCTTGCTACTCTCATCTAACAGAATGTAAGTACTATGACCAGTAACAATTTCATTTGTTTATATTGTTTCTTTTTCCAAATTATAGTTGACTCGGGGGGAGGTGGAGGGGAGGGAAATTGAAGGAAGAATTTATCCTATTTTATATTGGGTATTCTTGTGATGAACATTTGTTTTAACCATATGTGAACAGACTACAAAGAAACAAGTTAACAATAAAAAACCAGAAATCCTGGGTGTAGAACTGGATATATTGACTGATGATACTCTGGCCTGTCTCCCTTTAGGGAGGTGGTAGATGTGAGCACTTTTTACCAAGTGTGAACAG